CAGTCCCCCTCCCCCCCCCCAAAGATCACACTGTGACATTCTAGTGAAAACCATTGCAAAATTCATACAGGAAGCATGCACAGTTGCAGCATCGTTGTAAATGATTTCTTGCTTGACTAGAAAAAAGTTATATTGTTTTAAGGTAACAAAACAGTTCTTTTGTGCTTTTCAATTCCTTTTTTTTTCTTTTTTTTTTCTTTTCTTAGAATGTTAGTGATGATTGACAGTTCTGGTGCACAGTACAATGTACAAGTGAAATGAATATGATTTGCATTGTTAAGGCATCCAATCTGCTGGTTTATATTTATGTGAAAGACAGAGAAATATACAAGCAGACTTAAGAAAGAAAGTATTTTCATTGCGTTCTATGAAGTTTCTCCCCATATTTAATGCACAAAAATGCGTCACTCCAAAGAGGAGAAATCCCATGCATATTAATAGAGTAAAACAGCATTAGTTTTTGTTAAGCCTCAAAAGCAAAGGATACATTTTATTTTTTTTTAAATCTACATAACTAAATGCTACAAGAATAATATGCTACTTTTTGCCATATATTGGAAAAAACTTCTTAACTTACAAATAATACAAAAATAGACAATGGCTTTTGGGTGGAAATTAAAAAAAAATGGAAGCATGGTTTCAAACAATACTAAAAAAAATCCTATAAATGAAATGTTTTTAAATCACATTTAAACAGCTAATACAACGGTGAATGACCAAACAAATCAGCACTTTTCACATAGCAAACATACACAATAAAATAAACTTGGTAGGGGAAAAAAAGCAATGTACAAATTCCAAAGATAAATACATTATTTATATGGATATTTTACAAAATCCCCCTTAAACCAAGCAAACAAAAAACAGAAACAAAAAGCTTTTTTTTTCTTTAATTAATTTTGCAAGTATGTGCAAGCTAAAGGTAGTGAGCTCTTTTTGCAAAATATGCAGTAAAATTCTTTTTTTTCTTTTTGTGATATTGAAAAACCGTCTTAAGACATTAAAATGTATAAATAGAACAACAACTTTGGCAAAAAATCACAAAAAATCTACAGTATTTATAACTACATACAAAACACAACAGCAAAGAAAAAATATCAGGTAATGCATCTTCAGAGCTTTGCTGCCTCTTTTGACTAATAGTTTTTAAGAACACTTCCCAGATAATGATAGCAAAATGTTTGTAAAACAGAAGCTATGGTTTTGATTTGAAACCTTCCTAACAGCCCCCCCACCCCCCACCCCCACCTCCTGTTTCCATGTACTATTCAAAAGCAGTTACCTGGTGCTTCATATGATACAAACTGGGAGGGTCGGCTGATCCAGGAGCAATCCTAGTGGGAGGCTGGGGCCAGCATGTGCTTGCAGACTGTGAGGATGCAGAACTGCAGAGGGGTCTGTTCTCATTCTGCCCCATAAAAAACACTACATGAGGGGTGAGGGGGGCTATGTGGGAAACACCCCCAGCCTGGTGGCCACAGCCTGTGCCACTGGAGGGCTGTGCAGAACCCAAATGGTGCTTCATGCACAGCTCAGGTGACACTAAACTTCAAGAAGGCCACTCATTTGGAAAGAGTTTGCTATCCAAGCTAAGGAGAGAGCCATGCTAATGGAATTCTGCTGTTTTATCATATCTAGAGGCACTGGGTGTTCAAGAGGAAATGTGTTATATGCATCCTTACCTTTACTTTCATCTACTTTCCTCGTATTATTTACACTATTATTTAGCCTGATATTAAAGACAGAGGGTACTAATCCCACCCTTGCCATCCAAAAATACCAGCTTGCTAGGGAGTGATATCTATTTAATTAGAACATTAAAAATGCATCATATTAGTCACCACTGGATAAGCAACCTGTATGAGCCGACCCTTCATTAAATGGCCATTATTCTTCTACGAAAAACTAACTGGCACTTCTATTCTGTCCCACACAGACCTGTATGTGAATGACACCACTTCATTTTTTCTTTACAGAGCTTTAAAAAAAAAATCATAAATTAAAAATGTGGAGTTCCATCTCTAGTGTCCCTTATGTAATTGTATGATTTATAAAAGACAAATGGTGTTGCATTATATCAAGCCTTAAAAAGCAAACACAAAAAAAAACCAAAACCAAAACAACAACAAAAAAAAAACAACCAGAAGGGGAAAAAAAAACAAACTCCCCCCCAACCCCACAAAAAGAAACAAACAAACAAAAAAAAAAGTAGAGTGGATTTTTTTTTTTTACCAACATACAATAAATATATCTCCCAGGTATTTGGGATGGACAGCTTGAATCAACACCTTGCAATTGTAGACTGTTAATTTCAGTATTTGCAAGGATGGTGATTTTTTTTTTTTTTTGTTTAAAAATCCGCAGTTATTGTAAGATTCTTCTTTATGTCTTTTTTTTTTTTAATTATTTTTAAAAAGGCCTGAGTAAAAAGTTCCACTCTGGGACTTGTATCAGATTCTCTCTGAAGCAGAATTCAACCTCTTCATTAATAAAATTCTTCAAGGCAATTCTTTCACATGGGGGGAACAATCATGCCAGATATAGCTGTGAGAGGGAAAGGGGAGGGAGAGAGAGAGAGAAAAGTGGGGGGAAAAGTTACTTTTGTGCATTATAAAGCAACTTTAAAAATCCTCACAGCTTTGAAACAGTTACTAGCATCATAGTCAGCCATAGTGAGTATTAAAATTATACATAAGCGTCATCCAGTAGAGACAACTATGTGAACAGTTATCATGGGAAGCCTCATTCTGTTCAGAAATTGTTTTAAATTGCAAATGACTCTGATTAAATTAGTTATTTTCTTGCAAAATAAGTGCACTTCCCCTGATACCAGAATCAGGCCTCAACTTCATGTTCTGATATGAGTTTCAAACTCTCCGTAAGCCCAAGAGGCTTAAACCTGACCCAGCCATTGCCACATAGTCTATTAGACTTCAAAAAATAAAGCAGATACTTGTTCCTCTCATGAAAACTGGCTGGAGTCCCACAGGCCAGAGGTGCAGACCCAGTTGGCTGTTGGTTGCATTAGGCCCACTAACCATGGCTCATACTCCTACAAGTTCTGTCTTCAGCCCTGGGAACATTCCCAGGTGCTCAGGTAAAGACTTTAACTTTCAATTTGAATTTTCAAACTGCAACATGTGGTAGTTCAGCAGCCCAGAGTCTCATGGTTTTATTATCCTTGTAGCAGACACCACCAGCTACACTGAGGGAGTCGTATCTCATTTAGAATGTCTTCTCTTTAGTTGGCTGAGCTGAATCATCAGTATTTCATTATCATGCTTCCTAAAACCATCATATATGAAACCACTAACTCTGTTAATGATGAGACATTCATTAGAAGTCAACAGGTACAGTCCTGCACCTAGCTTGACCTCCAGCTTGGTCTCCTATCTACCAGAGACTCCATGCAGATCAGACACACCAAGTGTCAATGGGATACACCATGAGCAAGCACATCACTACAGGGTAGCCATGCAAGCTTATGATGACAACTGTAACAACAACACGTCTTTAAAATACTAGTTGTAGGGTAATCTACCAAAAGGTAGAAATCAGATTTGCCTTCAGGTTGGCAGCACTTCATGGGGACATTATTTAAATGCTAGAACTGCCTGCCATCTCAGACATCTGGACATGTAATTTCTTAAGGAAGAACTCAACCCTGTGACTGCTGCTGATTCATTGTGCTTTAATTACAGCTGCAATTATTTGATAAGAACAGAGCCAAAGTAAAAGACTCACAGATTTGGGGTTGGAGGGGGAGAGGAGGGAAATGTTTTCTCCACAAACACCACCATATGTGCAAGAATTACAAGTCTAATCAGCAAGAGGAGAACAGCTCGAGTAAACTGCACTGATTAAATGAAATAAAATGAGAGAAGGCAAGAATGCAAAACACATCCACATGTTTGCAGCAGGCCATCCTCAGAGGTGACATGTTGCAACTATACAGCAGCATTTCGAGTCTTAGAATTTGTCACTCAGTAATGTTTTAATGTGAATCACTGTACTGATGGTTTCTGCTCCACATAAGGGCTCTTCAAGGAGCTGAGAATGAGGATAAAAGCTATAGAGAGGTGACTTGAGTTGCTTTAAGCCCTACAGGAAGACACTCAAGTGAGTAAACTAGAGGACACCACCATGTCTTAGACATTTCTTGCTGAGGTATTTTCTGTCATAGGCCTTTTTGACTGTCACAGGGATAACCTGAGGATGCATTTTCATGTTATCTCCATAGCTGTGCTGTCTTCTTCATCTCAAATCATAGGATGAATTCAATATTGCCTTTTTTTCTTTCAGAATACTTGTTGGTTTAATCAACACTGGGTGAAACAACAGCATTTTATTTATTTTTTTTTTAAAAAAAAAGATAAAAAATATCTGAAAGGGTTTTATTTCAACAGCGTCTCAAATAACAAGTTCTGAATCCTCACAACTGTCCTGTCCCTTTGGTTCATGTGACTAAAAATGAAGGAAAGCCAAGTGATCCTCTCACTGTTGCAGTTTGCTCCCTACTCTGCTCTTGGGATCCTCAGAGTGTGGGCCAGGGTGTGGACCCTGAACTATGGACTTCTGTGGCAACACTAACAGTATTGACAGTGATGGACACAAACAGACTGTTGTGCTGCTGTGGCCACCTACAGCTGAAGGTGAGAGTGCAAATTTCCCCATCAGAATATATGAAAGACTCATGAGGGCACAGACTTGAGACACAGGTTTTATCCCAGTTCTGCATCTAGCCCATTGTATTTCATCAAGTCATATGATTTGTTTCTGTTTTTTACCTGAGGATAAATTTTATCCCTGTTAGAGATTGGAGATTTCTGGATGTCAGCTGTTTAGCAGAATACTGGGTGGGACTGAAGTGCTTGGACATCAGCAGCGTATGTTACAGTGCAGGGAAAAGCATCCCTGACAACAATGCTCCCTCTTTTACTGCTCAGATAAGCAAGGAGCTGAGCAGATGGAAGTGGGTAGAGTCTTCCTATATGTGATGAGTGCAACTGAGCAGAGTCAGCCAGATAATTAATCCTCTGTGCATTCTGCTTTTACCTTTTTAGTCCTTTCCAGCCCTTTCTAAATTCTAAATTTACTGAAATTTTAAAACAAGATGCTGCTTTGCTTTAGAAAAAAAACCCCTGCACTGTCAAAATATTATTCCAACAAAACATTCTCAAGCTGAAAAGATTCATCAAACTCAAATTGATTTAAACCAAAAAAGGGCCAAGAATTGTCCCCTTCTTGGGACAGCACTGCTGTCTAACTTGGATAAGAGCCCAAACAAAGGTCACATAATTGCAACTCCTCCCTTCATGGCTTAGATACTTCCCTGTGGTTACGTATCATCCGTGAACCTTTTGCAATTGGAAACATGGTAAAGATGCAGATCATTGTTCATATTTTCAAAGCATTATTGTTTTTGAAGAGCTCTGAAACTCTGAATTAAATTACAAGGCAAATGGCAAAATGATATCTCTTCTGCTTAAAAGCTTTGATATTTCCATTCTTTGCAAGTCTTCATTTATATCACTCCACTTTTATTCCATAAGTGCTACATCTAGTCATTCAAATTCTCTCAGCTGTAGCATGTTATTGATCCTGAAAACAGAGATATCAGTGGGAAACTGTGTAGGGATGAGATCACACCAGCTCCAAAAAGGGAGGGCAGAGAGTAGAAAAACTCCCACCAATGGGCATTATTTCTTCTATCATATACTAATTTGTATTTGCTGCTAGCAAATTACAGAAATAATGTATTTTGAGTTTCACAAAATTGCATGGCAAAGAGAACAACAGATAAGCCTACCTGTTGTTTCAGTGAGTTCTGCTGATATCTAAGCTACATAAGGAAAGCTTGATTGCTTTCTGATGTATCCAGAAGCCCAAGAGAGATAAGACAGCCTCCTTATACATGGTTGTTTATTTAAGCAATAAGGCACAACAGGCAGTGCATTTCTGAGTGATTATTACAAGCCTCAGGTGGTGTCAGAAGGCATGGGACTACAGGCTGTGTGTCTGTAACTCACCAACAAGTTCAGAGATGACCTAGAAATGAACCATCCCTTGGTGTCTCGTTCCTATTATGAAACTGGAATAGCTAAATAAAAATTAGGGAAAATGCTCAGATCTGTGTGGTTTCTGGGCATAACAGATCTGGATGTGACACAATGAGGAGGCAATCAGCAAGCCCCAGTTGTGTCCAGTGCTCTCAGCTCATTCCATGACTGCTTTTCATAACTGAACATGTGGAATATGGGAATTCCATGTCTTGTAAGCCAATAAAAAGTTCCTGAAAAATCTTTCTCCTGTTACTCTCTTTTTCTCTCCACCCACAAAATCAGGTTGGGACAAGGTGAAGAGAAGAGAAAAAGCACGAACATGTTCAAAGTCTTCTAGCAGTCCATTCTTAGCTCCCTTTTTATTTTTGTAATACATAGGTGAAACATTCTTAGCTGTTGCCATGTTAGCCTGTAGCATGTCAGCAGTGCCAAATGTTTAAAAATGCACAAAAATAAATCTCAAAAACACCACAGCTCATCTGAAAATGTGGTGGTTCATTCCTGATGTGCTGCAGTCTGTACTCATAACAAAGTCCCAACCAAAGCTACCTAAGTTCTTCTTATACATTCCTAGTTTTTTTCACAATTTCTGTGTGTGCATCTGCAAGGATTCCTCCTCCCAGTTCACCTGTTTGGAATGCATTGAGGACAAAGCTTTCCCTCGGTCACTACAAATCTCAGCTTTTATGAATTAATTCCTTCCGCTCAGCCTACATATGGATTTTTTTTGGCTGTCATTGCTGCTATCAGCATTATGCCCACAAGCCCGGAGCTTCTCTTTCCAGGGGCCGTAGAGTGACATGTGGAGTCTATGGAACCATCCTCCCCCTTCTCTGCACAGCTCCATCTGAACGTGGCTTTAAAACTGAAGGATTTTATTCCCTGGTCGATGGTCTTGGGATAATTTGTACAGGCACGTGGAAAGGAAAACAGACCTCAGGTCTGGGGGAAGCACAACGCATACGGCAAAATCTCCCCCACCTCTGGCACAGCTGGAGGCAGCTGGCTGCATCTGCTTGTGGAAACTCCTGGGTCTAAGCAAGCATGAAAATGTCTCTCTCAGCACACTAATGTGTCATGAGGTAATTACACAGGAAGGTTTAGGCACAGTGTTGTAAAACAGGCTGAACCAAACAATAAAATGGGCAGTGCTGCTCTTTGCAGCATCCTCAGTTTGAGAAGCTTTTGTCTGTCACTCCCTTCACTGGCATCAAAGCTTCAAAATGGGTTTAGGTGCTAATGCTGGAATATGTTGTAATGAGAAGGGAAGGGATGCAGAAAAGCAGCAGCCTCTTAATATCAACAGCTGAAGAGGCTTTCAGAAAGGCCCTGTGCCATTTCTGGAATTAATTGGCACAGAAGTAGATTAATTGGTGCAAATGAATGTTTGCCCTGGTATGAGTTAAACTGGAAAATGCTGCTGTTAGTTTGTAATGTGTCTTCTATTTATGAAAGGCAGAGGTTTGTGCCAAGCTCTGTAAGGGTCTATTTGCTCTCAGTAGGATTTCTGCACAAGTGTACTATGACAAAGGAGAAAAAAAGGAAGGGAAGATTGAGTGACGTACTTCAGGAGAAGGCCAGCCCCTGGAGAGACCCTGCAGTGGAGTACTTGCTAGAGTCCACAAAAGACTGGTCTGATAAAGGACGACAACAGGGAATAAGAGAGGAAAGAAAGAAAAAGGATGGTATTAGTAAGCTGAAATATTACTCATTTTTACCATAACAGTAGCCTGTGCTTTAAAAGACACAGCCTCTCAATTCAGCAGTATTAGTCAAGTTAGAGATAAGGTGGTTGCCAAACACCTGCATGGTAATAGGTGTGCTGGTGGTGGAGTCCAGTTAGACTTTACAGGATGAAACTTTAGGACAGAGACCACCAGGGATCCCCCACTGCCTTCTATCCCCTTTGACAACTCAGTGTTGCTTAGAGCCTTGCAAGGCACCGGGAACTCAGTTTTGAGAGCAGCCTTCTCTGCTTCAGACATGGTTTCACCTACCTTGCAGGCTATTGCCATTGGTGCTGGTGCAGGTTGGAGGAGGAGAAGTTTGCGGTCTCACGACAGGCGCAAAAGCACTCTTCTGTTTCACTGCTGAGACCATGTTGGCTGGTGAGAAGGAGAAAATCCCAGAGGAACTGCTACAGTTTGAGGGGAGGCTAGTGGAGGAGGCCATTGTCGGACTGGATGGCACGACTAGAGGAAGAAAAAAGACCCCCCAAAAAGGCATCACTTAGTATTAGATAACCAGCAGGCTGCAGAGAGAAGAGAATTCTGGTTATTGGAGGCACTAGGTCTAACTTCCGATGGCCAAAGCCTCTACTGCAGTGATGTTTCTGGTTTTCATTAAGTGTAATCAATCACTACCAGAAACCCACCTATTTATTTTTGTTTTGTTTTGCAGGTGTTCAGGAGCAGTAATTCTATGAGTCTCAAAAACTCCCTGATTTCTTCAAAATTCATTGTAACTCTTTATTCTTACAAGCATGCTGTGCCACCATCCCATTTCAAATTTTTCTACTGATTGGCATTAGCCACTGCTCTGTTCTGACCTTGTAATGTTTTTGTGTAGATGGATAAGAGGGAATCCAGATTGTGCAGGTAACTCAAAACTGGTGGGCAAGAAGGGTAGTTAAAGTACAAATCTCCATCAGAAATTTTGAATATGGAAAGGTCTAAATTTTTAACTGGCCTCCAAAACCATCATTTTAAGCCATAATTTCCACGTAGCAAGATGGCTCCAGAAAGACCTGCAGGGTTTCAAGCAAAGTTCCAGAAGGTAAAGAGGTTTTAGCTTGTCAAAAGTCAGCAAAAATAGTTGTGTTTCTTTTCTCTCTCAAACCTTGCAAGAACAAGGTTTTAATAGGAGCTATTCAGAAACCTGTGAAAAAATGTATGTGTGCGTGTCTGTGCACGCACACACTTGGAGGCTGTTCCTGTACATGGAGGCTGTCCAGCATAGAGCAACAAGTGCGATGGCCACTATGACAGTATATTACTCCCTTGGTGTCCTGGCCCTAGTGTTTTCAGTGGCTGTTGCACAAAAAAAAAACCTGGATGACTGAGAGAGATCATGCTTTTCTTTATCTACCAATGGCAGAAACTACTAAACCTTTCTCACAATGGCCACAGATGCTTTCTGTGTCATAAGTACTAGCACCAAGTCAGTCTCCATCTTCCCTGTATCCCTCAGCTTGAGGAAAGTTTCTGTTGTGGGGACTTCCCAGGAATTCTCAGTGACATGAAAACCAGTTATATTTCTCACATGATCTTTTTATTTATGCACAGGAATGGAGTTGGCATTTCATATCTCACCCGAGAATTTTGAAAATGAGAGGCTGTTCAAAGACAAATAATTCTCCCAGAGGATCTATGGCCACTGGCTGACTACAGTCAATACAGCATTGTCATTCTGAGCCATCGACTGGAATCTCAGCTGGAATAGCTAAGCAATGAAGCCATTCTGGTTTACATAAAATGAATATCTGGTTTAAACTACACAACAGAATAAAATGAGAGTCTTCAGTTTTTCTAAATAACTGTAGACATAAGGCTGTTAGGGAGGTTCATTTTTAAGATATATATATCCTTAAAACTCTTTTTGACTGTGTAGTGGGATAAATACCTTTGGTCCATGTATTTATTGAGGTTTTAAGTGAATTTGTTTTCTTTAAAATAAAGTCAGCTGCAGACAGCATTGCAGCTTCCCTTCTTTCACCAAAAAAACCACCCCAAAACAGGTAGAGACCAATGGTAAGATCCCATACTTTCATACTCTATGCTGTTTAGGATACATGAGGGGACTATGAATAATTACATATTATAGAGTAAAATTCCTATCGTCTGGGCTTTGAAATAATACTTTATTTGCATTTATGTAGATAGAAATCACCCTATTTAAGTTCTTATTTGAGAATCTGGTATCATATTTGTTAACACTGAGGAAATCAATTAATGGAAATTAAATGTTCAAAGTTTCACAGCCTGACAGATACAATCTTAGTCTGAAGTCACTCTGTGTCTGGAAGTACTTGCTAAGGGAGAGCAATCAAAGCACCTAAATTGAATTGCTACTATACAGCAATTAGTTTATTGATTTAATTAAGAATGCCACCTTTTAATTTTCAGGTCATGATTGAAGCATTTTCTGATTCAATGGATTAGGCATTAGCAGAATGACAGATCTACCAAGAAACCTCCCAAAATATAACTAGGATAGAAAAGAAGGGCTGGGAAGTGAAGTGTTATTCTAAAGAGGACTCCGTTCATAAATATGAAATAATACACTGCTAGAGTATTTTAAATGCAATACTGGCATCTGCTTCCAAAAGGAGATGTCTCATCAATCATGTTCTATTATGAATTCAGAGTGCACAGATTCTGTGACAGTAAATTCGACTTAATAAGTAAGGTACTTTCTAACATTACCTGCTACATTATTATTAGTGTACAAAAATAATAACTGGTTAGCAAGTCCCAGGTTATAAGTACTAGTTATGTGGGTAAATATTTTCTTCTGAATTTGCAGCAGATAAGATGTCTTGGTGGTAATTTTTTAAATCAGTTACTATCCCCTTTATAATTCATAAGAATAGCAATGCAATTCAAAATAATTAATTACTGCTATTAATCCACTAAGCTTATGATTTGCAGTGTAAACTTTGGTATGTTCAGCACTCTGTCCTGTCCATGCAAGGGTCTCAGCCTATAAACCTATTTATATGACAAGACCTTCTGCAGCTTCCTACAGATATCAGTAGAATCTTTTATGCCACATGAGTAATGTCAGAGGAATTGGACAGGTCCTATTCATTTAATTTTCTCATGTAAACAGAGACTACTGAGCAGTGTGAGTGGCTGCAGAAGAGGTTCATAGGCCTTTACCAATAGAAATTTATTTATATTTAAGCAGGTTACTAAACCTTTAATATCAAAATGCAGAAAGTTAGTCCTACACATAAATATTTCCATGACTGGGCCTGTAGACCATAAGCTCTTTCCACCGTGGAATATATGATTTGTGTGTCTTACATCTTTGAGGCATTTGCTGTACAGACACTAAAACACAAACTCCAAGAGCCACTGCCACATTTTACTAACTAATAGTAAGTGAAGTCTAGATAATAGCTGCTTACAAAGCAAATGGAGTATAAGCAATCAAGATTAAGCCCAATAGTAATACATGATTTCTATAGAGGTTGTGAACACATTATTTGCTCAGAGATCTCGAAAACCTCATCATGCAACTTATGGAAATGTCATCCTCTGCCAATGAGACTGTAAACTTCTCTGCTCTTTGTACTTTATAGTAGGAAAAAACTATTTTTCCTGCAGCAAGTATCCTTACCCTCCTTTCATACCCACTGCAACCCAAAGTTCTGCACTTATAACTGACTTTTGATCCACTCCAGCAGAAATGAAGTCACTTATGCCAACCCTGCTTTCCAGCAATGTTGAGGACAGCATTTCTTGCTTACAAAGGTAAGTTATGAAGCTATCAGCCTAACTCAGGAGAGACACTATTCTTGTTAAGCTCTTAGGAGAGTCCCTAATAATAATAATACCACCTAAACCAAGAACAACACCAGCAATCAACACCAACTGATAACACTGCTGGCAGCACTAATGTCTTCAAAGACAGAGAAAGCACCGAGCTCTGTTTCAAGAAAAGTCACCATCTCCTTCTAATGAAAATGTGCAAAAATACAGAAGCTCCATATAATACTTACTGGCATAGGGAGAATTGGCAGCAGATCCATTCAGGAAGGTTGGAGAACCACCTAAATTTGACATTCCAGCATTCCCATAGCCATTCATGCTTGTTGTGACAGAGTTATAGTTTGTCTGCTGAGGGGTGGTGCTTGGCACATAGCCATGAGGTGACACGCTGCTTGAGTTGCGAGTAAAACCTTTTGTGGGGAGGGAATACATTTAGAAATTGGTATTAGCCCAAGAACAGTTTCTTACACAAACAGCTACAAGCGAGTAACTCCAGGCTACCAAGCCAGGAGCCTAGTCCAGCCAGGGTGTGCACAGGGAGAGCCAAGACTAAGCACCAGTCCCACCAGCCAACCCAAATTGGGAACCCTCACTGCCTGGGATGTTCCTGATGAAGCACAAAGCAGGAAGAGCCTTCACATCTCCTCAGGCAACATATGCCCTCAAGCAAAGATCACCATTGGGTGTTAGAGGAACACTCACTCTAAAAGAGCTGTTTGTAGGCACTACAGTAAACATGACCTATATTTTCAAAGCCAGGAGTACATAGTGACTTAAGGTATGTAAAAAGCATCTGATTTTCATTAACTCTCTACCAATGTCTCTCTCATTTATGCATCTCAAATTAGATGTTCACTGCACACTTTAGAAAATGTAGGGTGTATTTCTCACGGTGGGATAGCCTCAATCTTTTTGCCCAGGTCTGATCATTATATTGGTAGAAAATTACTATCAAATTTGGCACCAAGTCAAAATTTGAATCTCTACCTAATTCTGAAAAGCCCATTTGGGAGAACTCATAACCAATTACCCAGAAAAGATTTGTTTCTAGATGCAGAGATAAACAGAATGCATCTTCACTGCTGGAAGATAAAAATACCAACTTTTCTTCTTACCACAAAATTCAGCCATAAAATGTTAAAATGTAAAAATTATATTTAAATTTTTAGTGTAATAAAATTTTGTTAATGCCCTTCTAGAAAAATGCCCCATTCTAATACTTTCTCAGTAATGTGGAGTTTAAGTAGTAAATAGATCTACACAAAGCAGAGGGGAAAATGCAAAGGTTTTTCACAAAAATGTTCTTAATTTTTTTTGTTATTTTTATCCATAGGAATTAAAACAGTTCTGATTTTACACAAGGTAAAAACCACTTTATTTTAAAAAACAGTGGAGCTCTGAAAATGTCTTGGTAAATATTTTTTGCTAGTTTCAAAATTTAGAAAGTTCTCAAGCTCTGAAAAAAAATAAATCAGTGCCAATATCACATCTCTTGTAAAACCAAAGCAAACAGACAAGTATTGAAGGGATGCTTTTGTGCTATTATGATTGCTACAGAGGGCCTGGACTGAGAGATCATCCATGCTCAGGAAAATACATGAGCATGTACTTAACATTAAGTACATACTCAAGTCAATAGAAATCCTTTCAAAATTAGTGGGATTTAAACACAAGTGCTGTTCTGAGCAGAAGGAAAAGCTATTCAGATACACACTCAAGTGCTTTATCCGAAACGGGGTGGGGGGAAAGTCACTAAAGAAAGGCCCATCTCATTACAGGATTGTGCCATTCAAAGGTTCTGTAGGTCTGTGGGATGGTGTCTGTCCAGCCACGCCCCGAGCCTGCGGGTTTGAACCTGAACCAGTGAACTCCTTTCACTGCTCTGCACTTGTATCAGAAAAGGTTCATAGAGAGAGGAAGATGAGTCTTCTGACCCTGATTGGTGGCTTGTGAGGCTTCGGAAACATTGACTGCTAGTTGACCACTAAAGGAATTCACTCCCATCATTCCTGCATGAACTGATGTGTTAGCAAGGGCGGGGAGCTGGTTGTGGTTGCGGGGGACACTGTAAAGCGCTTCGGCGATGTCTGCTGCTCTTTTCAGGATTATTTCCTGGAGGATAAGAAAGTAAAAAAGAAACGTTACCAATGTGACTCTGACAAACCTTTTCTTACACTCTAAATGGAAACATTTCCCTGTCCAAAGGCAAAAAAAAACCTAGATACTTTTCTTTCTAAACCAGCTGGCTCACTGCTAGCTAATGCTTACAAGATCTGCTGCATTTGTGATAAATCCTGACAGCTGTGGTAGGAGAGTTGGAAGTTTCAGTCCCAGCAGCCACGCTGCTATAGAACAAAACCAACTGACAGAATGGGGCTGGAGCCCAGACTCACTCCACATTAAAGCTACCTTTAGAGTGAGATTGAAAAATCACTGGTGGCAAGGCATAATGCTTATTATTGCCCATATTATATAGTATCTGGTGAAAGTGGGCAAATGCCTCCAGGGTTAATAACACGTTGCTTTATACAAGCACTAAATTCACATCCTATAAAAATGAAAACAAGCAAACTGAAGCCCACTCCAAATATAATGTTGCCCTCTGTATTTATTCTTGTCTCACATTGTAGTATCATATACCTTTAGCCCCTGATGTATCTATACATCTAAGAAATAGCCATGTTTTAGAATTGCTGAAGCAGAATGCATTTACCTGGTTATTATGTGGCATACCATAGAGTGCTTCTACTAAATCAGCAGCCCTCTTAAGTATTACTTCCTGTCAATATAAAAACAGATGCATTTCTCTGAGTTCAATAAGCTCCTTGTAGCAGAAAACAAATATTAGAACATTTTATACTCTTTTATTTGTTCCACAGTATATTGTGTGTTTGGTTTTTTTCTCCCGACCAGGTACACCTTTATTATAACAACTCTCAGCAACTCTGAATGGTGTTAAATCACTAGTTCATCATATTCACACACACACTTAATCAAGTCAAAAGGTGAGAATCATTGGTGCTGCAAAATAAAATACATCACTCAATTGTCTCTGCCATCTGCACTATAAACCACTCGTCAGTTTATTGCAGAATACAATCCTGAGGTCATTTGCTAGATTACTGCAATCAATGTCATTCAGAGCATGTTATGAATCCCTTCAATGTGTTTATTTTATTCTTAATTGCATACTGCAGGAATTGTGACCTTACCCAGCAGGCCACGTTCCAAAGATATCCAATCAGTTCTATGCTACTGGTGATGTGACCTTTCAACTTCTTTGGTTTGTGTCCTGATATGATGGGGCAGGGTAAGATCCATGTACATGAAATGATGCACAAGAGGAAAACATCTGCAGTGTGAGAGAATGGCCCAGTACTGTGTAGTGTTTCCTGGAAATATTCCCTGCATGGACAGCAAAATTTGAAACAGTCTGGGATTTAGTTCTCTGTTTGGGACAATTATTTTTCTCCACTTTCCTATTGTTCCTTTTAACTTGATATTTCGTAGAGTATTTTAAACTGACATTCAAGTTATATTAGCATTTCCTTTATTCTTACACTTTACAGGGAAAAAAAATATCTCTGTGAACAATCCTGATATAAATTGTAAAAATTCATTGCAGAATTAACCCAGATTATTTTTTTTCTTATTCTTTCAAAACATCTAGCAGGTTCCCTGTTGCCTGCCCAAAACCAGTTGAGGCTACCCTTTAAGTAAAACAATATGTTTTTTATAATTCCCAGCCCCTAAGTATTGCTCTAATAACCTGACACAATGCTATTCAGCATGGAATATTTCTGCAGGGAGCTTACAAAAATAGTACAAGTTCTAAGGATTTTACAGTTTTCTACAAAGTTAAACTTTTAAACTTAAAATATTTTAGACAATAGCCATATTTTATACCAAAAAGAAACAGTAATGCTCAATTTTCATATAGTGTAGACTCTGATCAGAAAATAGAGATATAATTGCATTCATTTTGCTGTCACCATAACCTCTTCAAAAATCCTTGAACAATTCTTCAAATGACAAGCTTTTAGATGCATATTAGCATTTTTTTCAATTTTAAATTCTCAGAAATATAACATAAAATAGTTGTCACACTGCAGTAACTACTTATGACATATATAATGTCCTAAATTCAAAAATGAGATGGAGGATTTGTGTACTCCCAGTAAACATTTAGGCTTGCACACACCCCTCTCTCAGAACACACATCTGAATTATTTTCCACATAGGAAGTGAGATGTATTATATAATTGATGGATTGTTAAATCACTACATTTGAAACAGATTCTGAGGGGTTACGTCGCTATTGCTTTTTTCTGGGTGGTTTTTTTGAGGTTTATTTCCTCTTTTTTTTTTTTTTCTTTTCTTTTCTGTCATGGTTCTTGTTTGGGTTTTATTTCTTTTTGTGTGTAGCTTGACCACAACAGTTAGCAGTATAATCATGGACAGACAGTCTACAAACAACCTGCAGGTACAATCAATCCTTGTTGCTTTACCAGAATCATCAGAAATCTGAGTTGCCCTTTTTGCCTCACACTGAAGACACAAAGTAGAGAAGCACAGAGATGTTCCTGAAAAATGTTATCTTTTTCAATCCATTATTATAGGTGGAAAATTACTGCACAGGTGTTTGACTTTGCAAACTAGGATTTATTTCACTTCAGTAGAAATTGTTTGCACTATATATTTCACTGATGCAAAATTAGAATGTGATACAGAGCCCACAAACTGCTTTGGAATATTGTTAACCTAAGCTGTCATTATGCCAAATTACTTAAAAAGAAGAAATTTTAAATAGTAATTTCTGCTCTACCTGACTAATCAGAGTTATTTATGTAATGCTGAGCTAAAAACCTTGGAATGCATCTAAAAAGAGATTGAACACCAAGTTAAAAAATTAGGCAATTACATGGAAACTTACAGCCACTCAACCTAATATCAAATATATTCCAGTTCTGAAACCCTGCAAGTTCTCTGATGCCATATCATTTTGCATGTAAATAAAACTAATTGCCATGAGGGTTTATTGAAGTATGCTTGACAAGTAGCATTCAGTTTTCCTAGCTAGTCAACAGTTGTAATTTTTCAACATTTTCAGAGTCTGTAAATTTGAGTTTCATAGTTTATCTCACAATATTTTCACACAATAAAAGCATATTTTTAATGGCATTTTCAGATCATATGAAGTAGATGTTACATAATAACTTCTAAGTCAAAGAGAGGTATCTTCTATTCTAGAGCTTCTATTTTAGTCCTTATAGACATAAACTAGCTTTAAAAATACACAATAAAACACCACTACAGACATGCTGAGGATATTAACTTCTTGCTTTCTGAATGCATCCTAAACCCTTTCCAGCTCTGCTTAAATTACCACGGCAGCTATGGTGACGGCTCCACATACAAAGGAGCCCCAAAAGTCCTCTATAAGTTAGAGCAACAGACCTTGCAAGGTGCTTGGATGGCTGTGACCAGAAAATTGTTCTCACCTCCGTGTCATTACACTCACAGAGAAGCAGCCCCCGAGCATGTTTGTGTTCAGGATCTAATATATTGCCTTTCAATCAGAGCTGAGAGCCACTGAACACACAGACAGAACATGACGAGCGGGTCAGGAAAGCAATAAAGATTTTACAGAGCTGTCCAAGGTGCTAAATTTACTCAATAATGGGTTTGGCACCATAGTGTTAACCTCTCATTTACTACCAGTTTGAGGGACTAAATTGAAGTAGCTGACTTCATTTACCTTGAAATGTATATTTTATGACATTATGTAAGTAGATTGAAAGGGCACTGCAGTTTTAACAATTTAAAGGCTAGAGCATGTTTAAGATGAAGCTCGAATATTTATTGTATATTGCACTTAAACTATATTGTATATTAAAATGCATTGATTAAATTTGTAAAAGGTATTATAAAAAAGGACAGCTAATACAAAAGATCTGTATCTTTTAAAATCCAGTTGATACTGCATGCCACCCTGCAATGGTGATAGATAAACAGACAGATAGGTGGACAGAGCAGCAGACAGACATATCAAAAAGTGAGTGAAAGAAATCCCTGCATGAGCTCAAGGTCTGTTATTCCAAATATTCTTTTGTTCACTGAGATTTTTCTTTGCCTTCATCTCAGAATCCTAGATTTTCATAGCAGTAAGTGGGCATCATGTAAGGTCCTTCCAATTGAATATGCAAGTGGAAATATTTCCTGAGGGAGATAGAGTTTGACTAAAGCTAATATCTAATTTATGGGGGCATTTGTCAAGACAGAGCCACTGCTCTATTAATGCAAAAAGTCTGACAGATTTTGGTTTAGAATAAAGGACTTTGCAGCGTTTAGTTAGAGCTAAAGTGAAAGTCTTCTTGTCTTGTATTTATTTCAAATGAGCATAATTTTGTTTCTAGAAAAAGAATCATTAGCAAATACTGAAAAGAGGAGAGATTATTTTATTGATTAAATATGATGCATCAGAACTCTGTCCTCCATGTAGCTACATGCCACAGATTCAGAGTCCATTTTTATTCCAAACTAAAGCTGAATTTTTACTGAGGGATTTTCACTTTTTTCATTTTTGAAACAGGAATGCAATTAAATATATTAATCAAATTTTCCTCCTGAAAACACTAAGTAGTATTTACATCAGCAAGAGAAGAAGCTGGCTAGTGAAGTCTGCTGCAACTTTGCAAATTCCCAAAGTACTGTAGGAAAGATTATATAAATCATACCAAAATGACTGTGCTTTTGAAGCACTGAAATTCAGACTAAATCCACTTCTGACAGAATGTACCTTGACCCAACATTATAGCAACTTTGCATGTTTTACTTGTGACATGCATTGCCTTCAGAAGGAATTAATTAAGATCAGGAAAGTTGCATTTCAAGTTTTATTACAATGAGAACATTTTGTGTCATTTTATCATGATAAACACATTTTGTGCCAGCTTCAAAAATATTGGATAGTTCTTCTGTTGACATCTGCATACTTTTTATTTAGCAGCTTGTGAAAAAAAATCCATGATGTCCCACAAGGTCTGTGAGTCTAGTTAGCTAAAGGGTATCTAGAGTTACACTGAGTTATTCAGCTTGAGTAACCAAATTAGATAATGTCCAAGGTACTTGTTAAATCTAAATGAGCTTTGTCAAGAAGAAGCTGACCACAATATATAATACTCATCAGCCACATGGTGTATTGTTGAGACCACCAGAGGATTTATGTACTTGTGGAGGGCGTGGGGGGGAAGCTGTTCTAGCATACTCTGAGGCATTTATCTTATGTGTTGTCTAGATATCATATCACCTTCTAATGCTCTTTAGCATTGTAATACAAGAGAGAGCTCATTCATCTTCTGAGAGGGTACTTAGGGATGATGATGTCATTCATACTTCCTTGACTCTTATGTCTGACCTCCTGGCTCTGTGTTCTAACTTCCTACTCTCATGGCTACTTGCAAGAAAAAAAACTCTTCAGCAGAGTCAAAATGCTGAACCTCAGACTCCAGTTCCCTTCTTCACCTTGGAAAGGTCACATTCTGAAATTTCAAGTCAAAATTACAGTAATTTGTGCTGAAACTTTCCCTTGTTCTTCAATGGGTGAAACTATAAATATGTTAATTATGGATATGTGTTAGAAATACATTTTAAACTTATACTTAATATTTGCATATGCATTATATTTTAAAAGATAAAATAGTGAACAACTCTTTTAAGTATAAAGAAAAAACCCCAAATGTTGTTAAAAAGCCATTAAGAAGGATAGCGCAGATCTGA